TTTTTTTTTTTTTTTTGAGAGCAAGTGAGTGAGCGCAGGAGCTCGTATGCAAGCAGGGGAGGGACAGGGTGGGAGAGAATCTTATGCTGGCTCCATGCAGGGTGTGGAGCTCGATCCACATGGGGCTCAATCTCAGGACCCTGAGATCAAAGAATCTGACACTTGCTTAATCAACTGAGCTTACCCAGGAACCCCAAAACCAAGATTCTTGATGAATCATAATGCTTTAAAGACTTTTTGTTAATAAATGTCTGTCTGCTGCGTTTTGATGCAGAAAAGCTCAGAAATTCAACTTGTCTGGGTTTTTTGTTGTAATTTTTCTTTTTGTGAATTACCTTAGTTCTGTCAAATAAAGTTACATACTGGGAAATATTTCAGAAGGTAAAAAAAGTAGTAATCATTAGGTGTCTTCTGTTTTTTTGTTCATTCTAAAAAATCATAATATTAAGGACTCCTTTGTTATCCTTAAAATTCTGGAATGATTTAAATTTTGAAAAATTATATCTGAAGTCACGCCTGTAGTAAACATTGACTTCAGTCTGATAAGTGCTACTGATAAATAGTTTGCTGTCCCAGTTTCTCTGTTAAATATGTGCTGGTGTTAACTATTAGTAAATCTGTTTTTAGAAGAGAGTTGTACATTGTGTCCAGTAGCCATTTTGGACACTCTGTAACTTGTGTTGTCAGTAGACACTGTGCCCTCTTGTGGTCAATTAGGAACAAAATTTCAGCTATAAAAAAATCCTGGCTTTCTGTGAGTTCATATTCTCTCTGCTCTTCTGTAATGGAATCACCCATACTCTGATTTTCTTTCTTTCTTTCTTTCTTTCTTTCTTTCTTTCTTTCTTTCTTTCTTTCTTTCTTTCTTTCTTTCTTTCTTCCTTCCTTCCTTCCTTCCTTCCTTCCTTCCTTCCTTCCTTCCTTCCTTCCTTTCCCTTTCTTTCCCTTTCTTTCTTTCTTTCCCTTTCTCTCTTTCTTTCTTTCTTTCTTTCTTTCTTTCTTTCTTTCTTTCTTTCTATGTTTATTTATTTTTGAGAGAGAGAGACAGAGACAGACAGACAGCATGAATGGGGGAGGGGCAGAGAGAGAGGAAGACCACAGAATCCGAAGCAGGCTCCAGGCTCAGAGCGAGCCCAGTGCGGGGCTCAAACTCATGAACCGTGAGATCATGACCTGAGCTGAAGTTGAACGCTTAACTAGCTGAGCCACCCATGCGCCCCTGAATTTCTTTGGGTGAACAGAAAACAAAACCATGGCAGGATTTTTAAATGGAGAATTGAGAAGTGGGGAGAGTAGCATCTTGTCTTAGTTTATTTGGAGAAGTGCTAGAAAAGATGGGGGTTAGAGGACAGAGTGTCTAGGGGGAGCCTGACAGGGCAGGTTCATGAAGTGTGAGGAGAAAAAGCAAGTAGTTGTGATAATGTTTGAGAAGATTTATGAGTCCTGTTTCTGTGATATACCTGAGTATTGTACAGGTACACTTTGCTGGCCCTTCACAAAATGCTCCCAGAATGGTGTTCTGATTTTATTTCTGTTTCTGTGTGTGTGTGTGTGTGTGTGTGTGTGTGTGTGTATCTTATTCAAGAGAAGGGAATGAGCACTTATCTAGCACTATATTGAAATGTCTATCTCATTTAACAGAAACTAAGTTTAGTTTGAAGTAACTGTTCAAATCTGTTTTGTACTGCTTATAATAAGTTGGCCATGGTAAGTGTTCATTGGTTATGGGAATTTTTTCAGAAGGAATGAATTTTCCCTACAAATTTCAGTTAAAATTTTTTCTTAATTTATATGGGGAGATCTCTCTTTTATAAAAATATTTATTTAAGTAATCTCTGCAGTCTTCGTGGGGCTCAGATTCATAACCCCTAAGATCAAGAGTCACATGCCTTTCCAATTCAGCCAGCCAGGCACCCCAGTAGGGGGAGATCTTCTTAATACCTTTGAGTTAAAAGGTTAAATTTTATATTTCAGCAATGGCCGTGCCCCATATCTACCTTCCTAGATTATCATCTGACCTTTTTAATGCCCCAGTATTCTTAGAAGGGTTCTGTTGTTAATGCTATCATTACTTGTAGATGATTCACTGATCTTCACCAGTCCATTAATAAGAAAGTGTTGTGGGGCGCTTTGCTGGCTCAGTTGGCAGAGTGTGTGATTCTTGATCTTGAGGTTGTGAGCTCAAGGCCCACATTGGGTGTATAGATTAGTTAAAAATAAATAAAATTTAAAAAAATATGAGAGTGTTGCAGTTCAGCTCACAGGACTGTATCTTTCTGTGATCAGTGAATTGTGTGTATTGATCTTCATTGGCTGATATGAAAGTTAAGTTTCAGTGAGCAGTTTTATGTAACAGTTATAACAGTTGCAAGTATTTTGAAAGTTCTGATCAAATTATAAAACATTTTAAGTTGACAAAGAATTACTGCCATTTGCATACAAATTGAAAAGACAGCTTCAGCTTATTACATAATTACAGTTGTAAATACCAGAAATTTAATGTTATTGATTGATCTCTTAAATAATTTTTATTTTTAATATATGGCTTGTGAAATATACTTGATTTGTACTGAACTGCACTGAATTGATTGTACCATCAGCTGTGTTTAAACAGATGCGCGGGGGGGGGCTGTTTTTATATTTATATTATTATATACTTATAAATTATTAGCTTTTCATATTCTCAGATTTTTAAGATTAAAAGTTTAAGGCTAGTTAATGAATTCAAAATTTTAAATGGACTTAGAATGAATGGCAATAAAGTGTAATGCTTAAAAGCTCAGACTCTGAAATCAGTCTTCTTGGATTAGAATCATTACTGTTGCTTACTAGCAATACGGCCTCGGCAAGTTCTTTAACTTGTCTGTGCTTCAGTTTTGTCATCTGCAAAGTGGATATAATATTAGTACCTACCTCATAAGATTGTTGTGAGGATAAATGAATTAATAAAAAATACTTAGGACAGTGCCTGGCACATCCTGAAGTCTCTGTATGTGTTAATTATTATTATCACTGTTAATTAAATTTACACTTGAATTAATGTTGGCATTCATTGTAAAGAATATATTGTTTGCTTTGTAAATATAAACCCCTTTTACAGTTCTTGCATTAAAAATTATCTCTGTATAACTGAAAATAAACAGTAAACTAAAATGACATTTATAAAGTTTTTCATGAAAACTTTTTTTTACAGTTATTTTTTCTTCTCTTTTAGGCACGGAATGTTAACACTGGTGAATTGGCAGCAATTAAAGTAATAAAACTGGAACCAGGTAAACTGAAATTTGATGTTTCTTATTGCTGTAAGCCACTACATATCTTTAAGGCTGATTTTAATGATGTTTGGTCAGCATTTTCTGATTGTTCCTAACATCTGGGAAATAGAACTGGGGTCTACTCTTTCCTCCTCCTCTTTGAGTTCTGTAGACACCTGACTCAGTTCTTCTTGAAAAAATAACTCATAATGGGGGGAGGAGGAGAACTCCTGAAGAGACTGTTCCTTCTTTTTTTTTTTTTTTTTTTTTTTAATTTTTTTTCAACGTTATTTATTTTTGGGACAGAGAGAGACAGAGCATGAGTGGGGGAGGGACAGAGAGAGAGGGAGACAATGTGAATCGGAAACACCTGGCTCTGAGCCATCAGCCCAGAGCCTCGACGCTGGGCTCAACTTGACCGCGAGATCGTGACCTGGCTGAAGTCGGACGCTTAACCGACTGCGCCACCCAGGCGCCCCTAGAGACTGTTCCTTCTAACTCAGTGAGCTAACTTGTCACCAGTCTCTAGTGCTGTTTTTCTAGGTTAGCACTGTCCTATACTGAGAGGGCATTGTGATGCCAGGGGGAAAACACTGAACTGAGATTGGAGTGCCTGTAGTCCAGTTCTTTCTGTCCCACACTCTTGCTGTGTGAACTTGGGCAGGTAGCTTCTCTGGGTCTCCTCTGTTTTCTCAGTAGACCTAACCCTCCCATTTTATGAGTCATTAATATTGTAATACTAGTTACCTTCCAACTTGAGCAGCTTATTGTAGAGCCCCTAGATGACTCTGCTTTTTTTTTTTTTCTGTCAGCTATATTTTCTCTCTGAAATCCCCTACCCTTTACAAAACCCATGTCTTTCTGAGCTAACTACATACCCTTGTTTATCTTCTCTTAAAAGTCCTTCTTCGGGGTGCCTGGGTGGTTCAGTTGGTTTCCTGACTTGCCTCCACACGCCATGATTCTGCTGGGTGGTTTCTGGTGCTGACGGCTCAGAGCCTGGAGCCTGCTTCAGATTCTGTGTCCCTGTCTCTCTGCCCCACCCCTGCTTGTGCTCTGTCTCTCTCTGTCTCTCAAAAATGAATAGACAGTAAAAAAAATTTTTAAAAATTCCTTCCCCTTTTTTTCTCTTTTCTATCATAAACAAGTAGTTGTGCTAAGTGTCTAGACTGAGTTCCACAGTGATGGTACTGCCTTTCTGATGGCTTCCTTCACAACAAATTGATAATACATGAATTTGGTAAAAACAGGTTTTATTCCTGGTGTGAGCAGAAATCCATTTGGTAGTTTTTTTGTTTCTGTTTTTGTTGTTTTAAGGAGGGCATTTTTTTTTTTTGAAAAGTCCAGATAGTAAAGTATTTTAGGCTTTGTGGACCATATGTGGTCTCTGCATACAGTTACCCCTCTTTCCTCCCTCGCTGTCTCCTTTCTCCCCCTAAAATGTAAAAACCATTCTTAGCAGACCAGGCCACCTGCAGCTGTAGTTTTCCTGCCCTTGATTTAGATCATCAGTAGACTTTTTAGAAGTACCATTAAGATGAAATTTAAGGATGTGTTGATGGACTGTGATCAAATCACACTTAAATATAATGAATGAAAAAATACTTTCTTAGTTACACATATTTACAGATTTTGTATAGTCTAATTAATACTCTAACATACAAGATAGTTTTTTCTTTGAATCTCCTCTGTTTTTTAGGGGATATTTAAAGTTGGTGAAATCTGAGGTAAAAAAAAAAAAAGTGAAGATTTGGCATTTGAAGCAGGGTCTTCATTTGTAACCAGTAAGGAGTGGCTCTGTTATTTGATGAAATCATCTCTAATTAGAAGCAGTTTGTACATACATCATTCCTTCCAATCAGTTTAGTGTTTCCTGTTTCAGGTCTTCCTGCCTCTGCTCTAAGAGCACTTAACCACATCTGTATTGTCATTCTAGAAATGCCTTTCTTTGTTCCAAGGCTTTTGGTCAAGTTTGTGTCCATAGCACTGAACTTAGTGTCTGGTACACGGTACCTGTTCAGTACCTCTTAAAACTTCCTTTAAAAAATTAGGAACTTGAAAAATCTTTCTGTTCATCAAGTCCTTTGTTTTCTGATTAATGCAGTGTTTCTGTTGTTACGATGTGAATCTTAAACTGTCATGAATATGTTGATCATTGTTTTAAAAGTAGAAAATACAATTAAATAAAAAGAAGAAAAATCATTCATGTTCTATCCAGAGATAACAGGGTTATTATCATTTATATGTTACTACATATACCCTTAAGATTACTTAACATTGGATTCCCTACCTAGATCTTCATAGAAGCCACCTGACTTTGAATACTTTAATTTCACATATCACTTGTTGGTGAGCTTGAAATATATGGCCCGGTGTTTAAAAACACAGGTCTAAAGCCAGGCTACTTTGATTGTAGTCCTGGCTTTGCCACATTGCTTAAGCTTTCTGGTTCTGTTTCTTGATCTCTAAAATGGAACTAATAACAGTAGCTTCCTCTTAAGGTTGTTGTAGGGATTAAATGAGCTAATATATCTAAAGCACTTAAAACAGTGTCTGGAACAAAGTACCGTAGTACCTTCTATAGTAAGTAGCTGTTATTACTACTAACAGTACTCCAGTTCTCGAGATATGACCAACCATATTCCATCTATACCCACCACCCTCCTTCTCCCATCATTAATATTTCAGCATGTATGGCTAAAGGATAAGAACTCAAAGTATAACCACAAACAGGAACCCTTACAGGAACATAAAATGGTGCATCTACTTTGGAAAAACAGTTTGGCGTTTTTCTTAAAAAGTTAAACATTAATTTGCCAAATGACCCAGCAGTTCTTCTCTTGTGCATCTGCCTGCACAGCTTTCACATACAAGTTCATAGTAGCATTATTCACAGTAGCCTGAAGTTGAAAAGAACTGCCCATCAGCTGGTAAATGAAGAGACAAAATATGTCTATAAAGTGAAATATTATTCAGCAATAAAAACAAACTGCTGATGGATGCAATGACATAAATGAACCTAAAAACATGCTAAGTGGAAGGACCCAGACACGAGAGACCACACAGTGTATGATTCCTCTTCTGTGAAATGTTCAGAAGAGGCAAATCTGTAGTCAGAAAGTGGATTAGTGGGCTGGTGTGTTTGTGTGTGTGATTGTGTGTGTGTGTGTGTGTGTGTGTGTGTGTGTGTGTGTGTGTGTGGACTAACAGTTAATGGACATGAGGAATCTTACTGGGGTAATATTCTAAACTGGTTTACAGTAATGGTTGCACACCTTCGTAGATTACTAAAAAAACTATTAAATTGTACTCTTGATATGGATGAATTACATGATGTTAAAATATGCCTCAGTAAAGTGATCAAAATATATAACCACAATACCATTGTTGTCTTTCAACAACTTTAATAAGTTTCCTAATAACAAGTAAGTCCCACGTACTGCAATTAGTTGATATGTCTCAAATTTCTTTTATATTTGTATATTCCTTCTTTATCTCTCCTTTTTTTAAAAAAAATCTCTTCTTTTTCCTTGCAATTTTTTGTTGAAAAAAAACTAGGTTATTTGTCATGTAGAATTATTCCCTCAGTCTGGATTTTGCTGATTGCCTCCCTGTGGTGTCATTTAATATGTTCTTCTGTGAATTGGTAGTTAGCCTGAGAGGATTGATAAGATTCAGGCTAGATTTGGAATATGGTAGAGGGAGACAACTTCATGGTGGCATGTTTACATTTTTCTAAATTACAATTCTGATGGACTGTCTATGATTTTTGGAAAAACAAAAACCAAATCTGAAATACTTAAGTGTATGTAATGAAGAATTACATCCAAGTTTGTTATTTTGTTCCTTGTTTTTTTTTCTTTTTTTTTTTTTTTAAGCAGCTGATATCCAGTTTGAACCTGACACTAAATGAAGACTTATTCAGACATGTGGACAAAATTGTTTGCTTAAATGTGAAGTTAGTGTGTTTATGTCACTGGGACTTACAGTCTTATTCATGTGGCTTTAATTTATATTTGGTTTCCTTAGCCATCCTTTGATTAACCAAAGCCTGTAACATTTTTTTAAACTTTTCGTTTGAATTCCAGTTAGTTAACATAGAGTGTAATGAAAGTAAAAAAAAAAAAAATACAATTAAATAAAAAATAAGAAACTAAGCATCATTCATCATTCTACCAAGTGTGTGAACCCTGTCAACAAATACAGTTAAATAAAAAGAAGAAACTAAGCATCGTTCGTCATTCTTCCAGGTGTATGAACACTGTCAACTTCTGATGATTCTCTGGATTTTCTTGTATGTTTATATACAAACACCCACACATACATAAACATATAGGAACCACACAGTTATGTAGACCACAAAGGGCTGGTGGAAGTTCAAAGATTGGCAAGAGTACACGACTGAGATTGGCTTAATTTGCTTGCCTGCCATGAACCAGTGAACAGGCACCACAGAGGACAAATAAGATAAGGATGCACGTGAGTAGACATGGCTCACCGGGGCGTCCCCAGGTCCTCGCAGAGGGTGGGCTACACTGGTGGTCTGTGCAGTGAGTAATTTGTCAGCCACAAAACCTAGTTTGCCATCATTTATGCTTTCAGGCTTGGAGAGTGACATCATCTGTAGTCAGCAAGTGGTGCAGCTGCTGTTAGAAAAGGCAATTATTTGTTGTGACACTGTTCTGTGCTTTTGTGTTCCATTTCTTGCAGTGTCCTCGGACCTGTAGCAGGCCTGGCCATCGCCTGCCTTACATGTAAACACATGTATGTGTATATGAGTACACTTTATTCATATAAAGGACTTATTTTGTGTATTTGCTTTTCGTTTGAAAAGCATTTCATGAATATTTTTCCATGTTAACATTTTTATGCCAGTGGTTTTTTAGCTGGCTGCGTAGTAGTTGGTTATATAAATCACATTTATTTACTCAGTCCTTAATGATTGTAACACATAAGTTTTCACGGTTAGAAACAGCATTACTGTGTACCTGCGAGGATATCTTTTGTTTTTATACATG